GGAAAGAGTAAATGAGATGGGAGAAGTAATTCTTGTTATAAACCACAGAGCGCCATGCAAATGGGAAGTCATATTACCCAGCTATTTTCTGTGCAAACAAGAATGTAGACACAGTGAGATCTATTGTTATCTGTTTTTTTCAACATCTCCATGAAAGCAGAGAAAAAGCATTGGAGCTTTGCAAAATAGGGTGCGATAGTGCTGCCTTATAACTTCAGAAAGTCTAATGGTATAAAAATGCAAGGTAGCCCATTACACATGATTGGACTTGGACTTGAAAGCCAATACCTGACTGTCCCAGGAGACTGATTTTCAAAAGCTACTTAAATCCAAGTGTAATTTTTTAAAAGCCACTTGATTGAGACAGCGTGGATGTACAGAAAGCAATACATATTTAATGAGTCTCATGAGTTTGGAAATGAGATCTACCTGCAAAACCCTCACCACAAGCAAGGCCGTTAACATAGCCCCTGCCTCCCGAAGTTTCCCCTGCTGTCTTTATTTATTTTACATTATTATTGCTATGAAAAGAGCACTTAACCTAAGCTCTCCCCTCTTAGAAAATTTTAAAGGTGGCCACTGTCGTCTCCTTGCTGCATAGAGGACCTCTGTTCATCTTCCAGAACTGGAACTCCCTACCCTCGGACCGATGCCTCCCGTTCCCCCCTCCCCCACCCTGGTGACCCCACCCTCCTCTCTGCTCCTACGACACGGGTTACTTCAGATGGCTCGGATTCCTGGAATCACATATATTTGTCTTTTTGCGTCTGGCTGATGTCCTTTACACAGAGTGCTCCAGGTGTATCCATGCTGCCACAAATCACAGTTTCCTTTTTCTTCTTTTTTTTTTTTAAGGCTTAGTAACATTCTGAAGTGCTCAGGTTCAAAACCAAACACGAGGCATCAGGCTGGTTGACTTTGGGGGTGTTTTGCCACTCGGGCCCCCTGTGTTTCCCTGGCACACGGGTCGTGCCCCCTCCTGTGTGGTCCCAGGGACACGAAGGGGGTGGGTCTTGCGGAAGAGCTATGCGAGCGCACGCACGCACGTGTGTGTGTGTGTGTGTGTGTGTGTGTGTGAAACCACACAGGGCCAGCCTCTGGCCTCCGCCTCTCCCACTCTAGAAGGAGTTTGGGGAAACTGCTCTCTCCCTGTTTCTGGGAAAACAAAAATGCACAGAAACTGAGGGAGGGCCTGAGGATTGGAGAGCTGGGACGGGCCCGGAGGGTCTTCTGCCAGCCTGGGCTCCACCCCATGCCGCCCTCCTGGGATGGGACAGGCCAGGCGGTGGCCTGAGGGCCTGGAATCACTGAAGCCCACGCCCGGATCCTGCTGCTCAGGAGGCCCGCCTGGCGGTTATTTATTCCGTACTCTCGGCCGGGATTGGAAAGTTCGCCAGCGTTTGCCCAGCGTGTCATCCATCTTGTGAGGGAAGAAGCTATTAAATCCGACTCCATCAGCTGCTTCAGGATTTCAGACAAGCTCAAGTGCAGCACATGAGCCTGGCGGCTTTGGAGCCGGCAGAGGTTAATTGGAGGAGAGAGAAGGGAGCTTCCCTCCTGGGCGAGAAGCCGGATTTTATCCCTAAACAGACTCTGGGCAATGGGGGTGGGAGGGAACCCCTCCACAAACTGCCTTCTGCCTGTGGCCGGAGGGACATCTGGAACTTCAGAGCCATCTATCTGCCATCTTCCTAAAGCAAAGGCTGGGTCCTCGGCTTCCCCCTCCCTTCCGAGCATGCAGAGACATGCAAACCCTGAGGCTCCGCCGTCGAATGCAGAGCTGAACTTGTGTCTCAGGGCCCCTTACAGAAGACTCGCTCAGGAAGCAGGGCACAGTGGGTGCTGAGGGTGCAGGAAGGAAGGGCAGGGGGCCGAGGGTGGCCATGGGCACTCTGGTGTGGGAGCCCCGGCGCAGGCGGATGTTGGGGCACTCAGTCCCCTGGGCTGCAGCGTCGGCGGGGCAGGTGGCTGTCCTGTGTGTCGACAGCCCCAGTGCTGGTTGTCAGGTCCTTTCTGAAGTGGGCAGGACTGTTGTTGGGCAGGATGGGCCTTCTGCTCGTCACACTGAGCACCACCTCCCCCAGGGCCTCCCCTCCTGCTCCCGGTTCTGGGGCTGGAAGTCCTGCCAGGGACCCTGGGGAGTCAGGAGGCAGCCCCCACTGGTGCTGCCCACCTCACCCTGGCCCTGAGCAGGAGGAAGGAAGGACTGAAGGGGGGGTGTGGGGCAGGGCAGGCCCGAGGGCAAGGTCAGCAGGGAGGTCGCTAAGGACACGTGGCAGGCATGGCAGGTGTAAGGACCGCAGCCTTTCAGGTTTCAGGGTCACGGGGCGTGCGAGTTAAGGCTCATCCTGAAGACCCTGCCCCTGGTCCTTCTGGGCACAGCCCGTCTGCCTGTCGTCTCCTCCGAAGGTGCCCTGTTCCTGTCCTCTGTGTCCACTGTTTGAGATTCTAGTGTATCAGTGCTGAATTGTGTAATTCTCCCCCCACCCCCATAAGCTCAAGAGCAGGACCTATTTGGTTCCCACGGTATCTGTCACGGTGGCCTAATGCCTCGAAGAGGAAGTGCCCCCTAAACATTCATTGAGTGAGTGAGTGAGTGAGTGAGTGAATGAACAGCTGGCTGGGCTACGGCTTGTGGAAAGGGCTTGCGAGTTGCCTTTAGACACGACTGCCCAAGCTGCGCAGGTGGAGGGCAGAGCGCCCCCTTCTGGAGCTGAGTAAGGTCGGATTGTGCGCAGGGGCTCCGTCAGCTCAGGAAGCTGCAGCGACAATTCCACCCACGGAGCCCCGAAACAGGGCACGTCTCTCTCCCACATCTGGAGCCTGCAAGTCCGAGACCAAGGGGCTGGCAGGTGTGGCGTCCAGTGAGGACCTGCTTCTGGGTTCAGGGACAGTGGTCTGTCTGCTCACTGGCTCGTCACCTGGTGGGAGGAGTTAGGGGCGGCCTGGGTCCCGTTGATAAGGGCGCTAATCCCCGCCGTGGGGGCTGCACCCCGTGACTCAAGCACCTTTCAAAGGCCTTGTCTCTTAAACCCTCCCAGTGGGGGGTAAGTTTCAACATAAGAAATGGAGGGGGAGGGGACACTGCCATGGGGGGTGGGAAGGATGGAGTGGGACATCCCCGTTGTGGGGCAGTCCTGGACGGGGAGGGGAGGACACCCAGGCCGGTTCCGCACACGGCAGCCCCTCGGCTCCTCCTGCCGGCGCATCCTCCCGAGTCTCGCCTACCTGGCACCGCGACGCGCTCAGACAGTGGCTGCCTGCGGCCTTGTGTTGATTACAGTTCACAGCACCGCACCGGGTCCCTTGCCGCCGCGCTCCGCAGAAACCCCGTCTCGCTGTAATGAGGTTTCCGTGAGATGCTGGAAAGAAGAAAGCCTTTTAATTAGATTGGTAGGAGTCGAAGTCCCAAACCACAGAAGCCTTTCTCGGAGAAGATGAAGATACCAATGCAATTAAAAGAAAATGAGCCACCTTGGTGGAACACAGTGGCTAATTTTAAGTCCATTAAAAACAACTCCTTCATAAATCGCGGCAACAGATGCATGTCCTAAAACAGAGCCTCGGCGCTTTCAAGTTAATGTTGGAGATGGGGGTGGTCCCAGAGAACTCTGCCATTCAAATGCACGGCTCCGTGGGGGTCGTTTGCTCCGTGGAGAATGGAGAAAGGTTGTCTCCACAGCTTTTTCCATCAAAAACCTTGGCGTGTGCTATTTTGCAAAATGAGATTTTTTTTCCCCCTGTAATTAAATTGGCAGCTTCTTCTAGACACAGCCCCTGACCTGGGATTCCCCCCCGGGCTTCATTCCCTGTCCATCCACAGGCCGCCTAGCCTCTCTGCAGAAGTCACCCTCCCCCCAGGACTCCCCAAGTCTCACCTCTCAAAGGTGCCCGGGGTGTGAGCATCTGGGGCAGGGGCACTGAGGCGTCCAAGTCTCTGCCAGCCCCTTACACAGCCAGCACATTTTTTTTTTTAATGAGAAGCCGCATCCATTTCTCATTTGCATCCCTGTGGTCTTGCCGCGCCCCCGCAGATGCCGCATTCTTTCTGCCCCAGCGCTGCACTGCGTCTGTGAGTGCCCCGGGTGGACCGCGCCAGGCACTTCCTGTTGGAAGGGTTCACGGTCTCAGCCCCTGGGCCTGTCTGCCCGGGATCACTCATCAGCACTTTCTCCTGCAGAGGGTGGAGGTTGCTAATTTGCAGAGCCCTTCAGGGGGGAACTGAGCAATAAATACTGCAGGACCTGCTCTCACCACTCTCACTGTGGCGGGAAACTTGCTCGTCTGTCTCCGCTGGTGCTGGCTTTTGCTCAGCCATGGACTTGGCGGGCCACGAAGTGCCATTATAGTTGGCAAGGCCAATCGGTGTGGAGTATCTTTTTCAGGTGCCCTGTGCTGGGGCAAAGCCATAGCGGGTACACTGGTTGGTGCCCCTCTGCCACACGCACAGGCAGCTGGAAACGTCGGAAGAGGGGCCCACCCCACGTCTCCTTTCTGACCTCGCCTGGGCGGGGTTTACCTCGCAGGTGTGTGACAAGGGCCACGCATGCTGCCTGGGAGATAAAAGATGAGAGGGAAGGAGGCAGATCCCCAGGGACCAGGACAAACGTGGGCCACACAGCCCTTGGGACAGCAGCGGTCACAGCTCACTATCAGACCCCGGGGAGGGCGGTGTAAAATATTTATATTCCTTTTAAACTCTATACATCCTGGTAATACACTTGACTTCAAAAAATGGGACTTTGCACCCAACCTAATTTTTTACAGTATAAGAGATGGTGCGGTGACAGGGTTTTAATTTTCTGTTTTATGCTTTCCAGCCTTTTGTAAGTGCTCTATCGTAAATGTGTATGACCTCAGAATGCGGAGAGAAGCTTCACTGTGAGCGCGACGCTGCTCGAGGTTGCTTGGGAGGGCTTGGTGCATTCTAATTCCTACACGTTCCCGCAGTCTCAATCCGCAGGCACCCTAGTTACCGCTCTTGTCTTTTTCTTTTCAAGGACGAGAAGAACCAAGTTCTAACCACCAACATCTGGCTGCAGATGGTAAGTTGAGACCATGGCTGTCCCCGCCCATGGATGTCCCCGTGCTTGCTTCTGGGGGTGCTAGTGTGTGAATTGTAGCGAAAGCGGCGGACCTGGGAGAACTGCCAGCACTGGCTGTGGTCCCTGACTGCGCATGTGCGGACCGTGAAGTCCCAGGTCCCGCCTTTGCGGGAGCGCACTGCGTTCCGCAAGGCTCCAGTCACGCCTGCAGTTCGTGACAGGGTGACCTGGGAACATTTCAAAAGCACTTCATGCGAGACAAGTCAAACGACTCAGGTTTGCAGGGAGGTGCCCGCACCTGCGTCGTCACTGGTCCCCAGGACTCCGGAGTGCGTGCCTCCCTCCGCACGCCCCACCCGTCCAGGGACGTACTTGAACCCAGAGCTCTCCTCACTCCCTGCGCGTGTGACCCTCGCGAGATTTTGAAGGGCTACATTCTCCCACGCGTGGGTTTTCAGTGTGACATCTAAAATTCCAACCTAAAATGGATCAGTTGCAAATGATGCCGCTTCCATCAAATTGTAAATATCGAGATTTAAAAATAAGATTGTTAGGCTCTATGTTGAATGGAATCGAAGCAGCACATAATTTGATATCCATAGCAGTCACCCAAAAACACAAACAAGCCATTCTGGAGCGGTCAGATCGTTTACGTGGTGTCTTTTTGTCTTTGTGCTGTTCTAGTCCACTTTGCATACCAAATTTTATCCTACTGTGATAGGATGTTGTGTTGGAAAGTCTTTTATTAATCACCCTGTCTTGGTTCTCTCCAATGTAAATATTTGCATAAAAGTATTCCTTCAAAAAATAAGTACGAAAAGTTTTTCTTCAGAATTAATTTAGGATCATGAATTTTGGTACAAAATTCATCAAGGTGACACTAATTACAAATTTTAGTAAGTAATTATTAAACAAAGAACTGGAAATTCATTGCCTTACCAAGGATGAAACTTTGTTCTTGGCTCATTTACATATTTATAGACGGCTGTTTTTTATTACTAGAATTGAGACATCGATACAGACTCCACCCACTGTATCACTTTTAAAAACAGATGCAGTGATATGCGTAGACAGTTCAGAATGACAGGCACTTTGTCACAGCCGTGTTGTTCAATTCCTCGAGCTTCTTCCACACGACAGGCCAAATATTACACACCGTAGTTTCCCTCAAGGTGCACCACCAGCTGACAACGTGATGAGTTTTTCCTTTAATGGTGTTGAAAGCCAAGAATTAAAACACACCTGATCTTTGAAAGTGTTTGTCGCCCAGGTTTTAGCGTCATCCACACAGTGCTCTGAGCTGACCCTTTGGATCTCGGGTCATGTCAGGGGGTGAGAGCAGAGCTAAGGGAAGTGGGAGAGGCAGGCGCCCAGGCAAAGGGGTTCCCAGGGGCCTTCTTGGGCAGGCGAGGTTTAGCGGCAGTGCAAGTGGGAGTTGATGTGAGGAAAACGAATCCACTGCTGTGTGTCCCGGGGCACGCTTGGCTGTGCATGAGGCCCCTCGCACAGCCTACCTGTGATGAGCGAAGCAGAAATCTCTGAGCATTTCCCCCCGAAGGATTGAAAGCAGAACTCCTCAGCGAGCAGGCCCTGCCCTCACACCTGTGCCCACCCACTGGACCCTCTCTCCTCGAGCCCTGGGTGCAGGGCCTGTGCTCCCGGGACGAAGTCCCACCTCCCGGCCACTGCAGAGAGCCTTGCAGTAGATGGCATCTCTATTGCCTCTCACATCATCATAGGGTGTGTGGGCCCTTCTGCTTAGCAAGCAGACACATCCCAGTGTGGCCCCCAGGGCCCCCCGAGACTCCCTGGTCTCCTCCTCTTCTTTTCTTTTTAAGATTTTTTAAATTTATTTATTTTTAGAGAGGGAAGGGAGAGAGAAAGAGAGAGAGAGAAACATCAATGTGCGGTTGCTGGGGGCCGTGGCCTGCAACCCAGACATGTACCCTGACTGGGAATTGAACCTGCAACACTTTGGTTCGCAGCCCGTGCTCAATCCACTGAGCTACGCCAGCCAGGGTCCTCCTCTTCTTATAGGTCCCTCCAAGCAGTGTCCCCCAGTGCCTCCATCCTGTCCCCTTGCATCCTCAGGAAGCCCACCCTTCTCTGGCTCTGGGTGAGCCAATCACTGATCCTCAGGTTACTAAATGCTCTTAGTAGTTTTTTTTCCCCACAAGTTTTTAATGAGAATTTTCAGGCACGCAGGAAAGTTGAACCTCCAGTGAGCACCCGTACACGAGCCTCCTGGACTCTATAGTTATTTAGCATTTTACTACGATGACTTTATCGCACATCTAGACAGCTATTCATCTTTCTATTGATCTAGCTTATTTTTAAGTGCAGCACCAAGTAGAAGAGCGAACATCAGTGTCCTTTCACCCATGGACTTCATGCAGATCTTAGAGTTTATATAGATTTTTTTTTCTTTCAAGGGTAAATCCGCATACAATGCAATGCACAAATCCTAAGGGTCCCCCAGTCGTGCATTGCCCGGAATGCCTTCAGCTCAGCAGCTCCACCTCTGGCAGGAAGCAGAACTACACCACGCTGCCAGCTGATACCTAGTGCCCCTTGCCGCCAATTCCTGCCCCCTGCCTCGGGGTAGAACCCCACTGTTGGACTTTCTGGGCCTTCCAGGGATTGGTTTTTCCCTTTACCTTCCTGAACTTCTCAGGAGCGTGTGGAGGAGCTGACTGTTTTCCATTCCTTGAAATCCTTCTTCGCTTGGTGTGCAGGCACCTGTCCGTTAGGTTTTCCTCGTAACTCACCGGCCACTCCCACTGAACTAGAGCGACAGCAAGCGTCTGCTGTCTCCTGGTCTCCTTCCAGCCACTCATCCCTCCGGGAGCTGGAGGATCCACGCTCCTGGCTGGAAGCCACACCTGTGAGGTGATGCCCTCCGGCGCCTCCCGGCTGTGCCCGCGAGGCTGTTAAACTCCAGATGGCACACCTGCCCCCCTGCGGCCCTCTCGGTCAGGATGATTGGGGACCCCACACACCTGTTGGCTCAGATCAAAAGCCTCAGGGCCACCCACGGCTCTTATCTTTCTCCCCCACGTACAATCTGGCATTAAATTCCAGCAGCTCCATCTTCAAAACAGACCCAGGGGCCAAACATTGAGCATCACCTTGTTGCTTCCACCCTGTCTACGCCAGCATTTGCTCTCACTGACGCTGTCTCAGAGCCTCCGAGCCCGGCCTCTGGGTCGGCCCTTCCCTCCCCCATCGGTGGCGCCTCTTCTCCACAGAGCCGCCAGTGCGATCCTAGTGAGAGAAGATGGAGGCTCAGCCCTCCAGGGGCTCCTGGCTCACTCTGAGGCGAAGGAGATGAAGGCCTTCAAGGGGCTCTGGACCCCCAGCCTGCCCAGCCCCTGCTGCCTCTCCAGCACCTCCCTCCTGACGTCCTGAGTGCCTCGCCCACGCGCATGCCCCCCTCAGGGCTCCTGCCCCTCCCCACCCTGCCCGGAAGGCTCCTCCCCCAAGAACCCCTCGCTTTCCTCCCTCACTTTTTTCTACAGTCTCTTCCTAGAGATCGCTTCTCGGTCAGGTCCTCCCTGAGCTCCTAGTTGCTGTCCCAAACCCTCCCTGCTCACTGCCAGCGCACTCTGTCTAATCTCCTTAGTCGGCTTGGGCTGCTGGCACAAAATGCCCTTAACTGGGTGGCTTATCAACAACAGACGTTTACTTCTCCTGGTTTTGGGTGCTGGCGGTCCAAGGTCATGATCAGATAGACACCATTCTGCAGTGGCCTCCCATGGTGGGAAAAGTGAGCAAGTTCCACGGCCTCTTCTTAAAAGGGCACGAATCTCCTTCCTGGGGCCCCACCCTCATGTTCTATTCGCTCCCATAGGCCCCACTCCCAGTCCCATCACACTGGGTTTCAACACGGAGATTTCAGGGTGAGACAGACATGCAACCCACAGCACCCCGCTCCCTTTTGTCTCCAAAACACTCGTCACCGCGTGACAACCTTTTAATCATTTACTTGTCGGTGGGCTCTGAGTGCCCCTCCCCCACCGGAAGGAGCGCTTCCGGAGGGCTGGGGCTCCGCCTGGATTTGGTCGCTGCTCTCCTGCGCTCGGAGCCCGCTGCAGACCCTGAACACCTTCTGTGTGACAAACGAATGAAACAGAAAACTCGAGGTGAACCGAGGAGGGGCTAAGACATGGTGATACAAAATAAAGGCCACCCCCGAATAATATTTGACCCCTGAAGTATAAGATAAAGCCCCCAGAATTTTGGGGGCGGGGCAAGGGAAACCCTTCCTTACTCATACGAAGCTGCACCTTTCCTGTCTCCTCCGAACTACGGAGCCAATGTTGACATTGAGAGACGCACCGTGTGCTCATGGCGTATGGGGTCAAGGCCAGGCCTGTCCATTCCTCGCCCCCCACCCCATATTTCTCAGTCCTCAGGAAGTGGCTGCTCTTCAGCAACACAAAGGTTTGGCAATTTTTTTTGAAGGGTGTTGATTTCTAGGAGAAAACTATAACTATTATCATGTACTGTTTCGAGTTCAGCTGCTCCATAAATAAACATCCTTGTTTCGGAAGATCCACCAGAGACCTGTAAATCTCCTCCGGGCGTAGCTTCGGTCTAATTAGGTCTTGTACTTGCAGAAGCATCCCCCGCTTCAATTGTTTCAGGACTCGCCTCTTTAATCTCAGGTACTTATTCCACTCATCTTTCTGAGCTCCTGCTTGGGAGGCAATGCCGTAGATCACGTGAGGGGACCCAAGGATGGATGAAACCCGGTTTCTCCTTCCAAGCCGTTTTGCAGGCAGGCTGTGTCATTTACAGCCTAAAGGAAGGTTAAATGTCCAGTTACTCCCTGAAGGGGCCAGGAGAGGTGGAGTGGGCAGCGGGGTTCACAGCGATGAACCCCGTGGCATTGCTCACTAGCGCCTGTTCCTAGGTGCGCACCCTATGGACCTTATGCCAGGTGCCTTTAGGGCACATGTGACACATTCCCCTGGGAAGCCGCCTCTGCATCTCTTGTGGCCACTGTGACAGCAACTCCCAGCTCAGTTCGAAGGAATCGCAACTACCTGGGGTTTAGAAGGGACTTTAGTGGTCACCTAATCCAAACCTCGGTCCCGTTCAGCATTCCCACCTGGAAAGCTGTGTCCTGTCCACTGCGGCCACAGCCTGGACACGGGGGACTCAGACGTCACCAGGGCAGCCTTGGAAGCCGCCCCGGGACCATGGACAAGACAGCTGCCACTTGGTCCCTGCTCTTTGGGTTCTCTCCCTGGGGACCGGCCACCACAGCCAGCCTGGCTCACGGGCAGATGCAAGAGCAACTGCATATGGAAGGCTAGTGGGCTGGGGTCCCCAGGGAGGGCGGCCTTGTGGCCAGGACGAGGACAGAGCCCAGGAAACTGGGCCCCTGGAGTTTCGTGCCGCTGCACTCCTGTTCTGGAAATCCAAATCTGCACGGCCTCCCCGAGGTATCCCAGGTCAGCATTCTGCAAATGCTAGATTTTCCTATGTATTCAAAATGGAAGAAGCAGGAAGGTAAAAAGAAGAAGAAAGAAAGAAAGAAAAAGAAATACCATAAATTCTCGGTTTATTGATTTTGTTTGCCATCCTTGCCCTTGCCCTTGATTCTGTCTGACTTTCCGGTCACTCAGCCCGAAGGGGGAGAAAGCGGCTGATCTCTCTACTCACCTCTTCCCAGCTCTGGGAGGAATCGGTGGTGGATTTTCTCTGTGGATTAGTTCTATTGTTTCCGAAGCCTGTCAGGCGCAATCTGATTTAATCTGTGAGACGAAACGGCAGAGGCAGCTGAGCCACCCAGAGAGCCACATGCAATCTGTAAAAAAAAAATCTGTCTTCTCTTGCTTTGGAATTTCGACCACTCTTCCTGCTCTAGGTTTGCAATCCTTCTTATATAACTGTATTTTGCTGTGTATCATGCACACTTTTTCACCAAGTTTTTGAGGGAAAAATAAGGGCACACATTATGCATGGGTATAATGGTTACACATGCTGGGTAAGTAATCCCGTGTATTATACGCACAAAAACTGTGGGTGCACAATATACACGGCAAAACGCGCTATTCCCTATTTTTCACCTCCTCATTCTGACGATGCACCGAGTAGCATGCACATTGTAGCATTAGATCGTCAATCTAATCTAGATCATGTTGCTTTCTAAAGTGTTTCGGTTGGTTTCTGAATGATCGCTTCAGCCATTGTGCTGGGAGATAAGTGAGCTTAGGGCCACACTAGCAGCCCACAGTCAAGGGTGACGTTTCCATCACTCTGTCACACTGAGAGAAGACAAAGTTTGGGGGGTGGGCAGGAGCAGGAGGCCCCTCTCCACCTCTGACATCACAGCATTCACTGGGAGACAGATCAGAACATACATGTGTACATAGGTTTCCACAGCAAATGCGTGGTGCCTTCCACAGCAGCAACCCATTCTCTGATTTTCTGGACCCCGGCCAGGGGTCCATCCATGTGACTCTGCTCTGACACCATCTTCCTGGAGAGTGTCAGGTCTCAGCCATTAAGGGCTCAGTCCCTCAAGGCTGCCCCCACCCACTTCAGGTGCCAGCTGCAAATAGGGGCACCTGCTACCCATACTTCCACCCACCTGAGTTCAAGTTCAAAGTTCCCCGCCGCCGCCTCTCAGGGTCCATGTGCCTGCATCTGCTCTGGTCAACAGGAGTGGCGATCAGGCCAACATCCTGCATTGGGGCGGTCAAGGTCGCCCACGGGGCCAAGCAGGCAACGTGGCCAGATTTGGGCCCAAGGGTGCGTGCCACTGAGCAGGGGCAGAGGGGAGACAGGACATGTGAACCTGCTGGGGGGCGCCCTGCAGGTCAGATGAGGGGCCATCAGAACCACCTGTTCTCACTTTCTGGGGGCCCTAGGGCCCAGGTCAGCATGGAGGTGGTGGGGACAAGGGTGGGGCACCCCGGGGTGAGACAGGAGATCAGGGAAAGGGGTCGCAGGTGTGGAGCTAGGAGGGGCTCCTGCCGAGGGCAAGGGAGAGAGAAACGAGGAGGGGGCTGGGGCATCAGTGCTGGGAGGGAGCAGGCCGCCCCAGACACAGCACGGCTGGCACCCAGGCGTTCCTGCGAGACTACTTGAGCAAGACTGGCCCTTCTGGGTGCCAGCCTCCCCTCCCCCAACCACCCACCTCAGACTAGAGACATCAGCCAGGTGAGCCTCTGTCCAGGTGCCCAGGTGACACTTCAGCACACTAGACGTCGACACGTCCTCATTTGGGAAGGTGCGTGGCTATCAAATGACAAGACTCACCTGGCCGTCCCCTCTTGTCCGGTCAGGTAGCCCCAGGACTGGGACCTCTGTTCCGATGCTGGCCCGCCCTCCCTGGGGGACACGGGGGCCTCGGGGACATGCCCTAGCGCCCCATTGTACTGGCTCTAGGAGCGTGTTCCCCAAGCTCAACAGCTCTGAACAGTGGCATTTCCCCTCCTTGCTGTTGTTCTTGTAACTTTGCATCCAAGTCCTTGACTCTGAAATCAAACTGAAATTGGTGTGTGGTGGGGGTGTTCTGGGTCTCACTTAGTATAAATTGCATGCTTTGCTGCCGAGATTGGGATGTGTTTGCTTATTACGAGTCTCCCAGGCTCCTGCTGGGCAGGTGGCATCGCCTAACTTTCTATTATTCTTTTAAAGATTTAATTTATTTTTTTTAGAGAGAGGGGAAGGGAGAAAGAAAGAGGAGAGAATCATCGATGTACGAAAGATACATCGATCAGTTGCCTCTTGCACACGTCCCCAAACGGGAACCTGGCCTGCAGCCCAGGCATGTCCCCTGACTGGGAATCGAACCTGTGACCCTTTAGTTCTCAGGCCAGCACTCAACCACTGAGCCACAGCAGCCAGGACTCCCCTAACTTTCTAAATCTGAGAAAGTCTGAGCTCCAGAGCACATGTGGCCCTCGGGGGTCTGGGTATAGGATGGGGGCCTGCCCTGCTTATAAAGGCTACTGAGTCCACACCTGCCAGGCCTGGGAGACCCTGGCTGGGTGAAGCTGGTCATGAAAGCAACCTCAGGCTGGTCCCCCTTGAGCCATCCTTACATAGCGATTGGCCCAGATGGGGCTGGTGGGTGTGGTCTCAGGATAGCGGCGGCCCAGGCATTGGCTTTCCTCTGGCAAAGGTCACTCAAAATCCAATTTCAGGCCATCCCCAAGGAGTTGCTCTCCGTGTTTGTGTGTTTATGAATTTTTCCCAGTCCTTCCCCCCTACCCTGTGTCCTGACTCAGCATTTTCCCACCAAGGCCAAGAGTGTGCATTTGGGGGTCGTGGCATCAGAAGCGCTGGTCCTGCCTGAAGACAAGACTTCGAGCCCCCAAACAAGCCCTGTAGAAGTTTCTGGGATGTTTCCCTGCAGCTGCACCAAGTGTTGCATGGAAATAAATAGTCTGCGTTTTTTTCAGCCTGGTTCTTCTTTCCAACGGAAATAAATCAGTTTATTTTTACCAAGCGTCCTTATGGAAAACTTTGAAAGCAAAACACTTTATTCATTTGGCTAGAAAACACCCGTCTCTCGGGGAGGAGGGAATTGCTGGGGAGCACATGATGGACCGGAATTAACTTGCATGCTTCCCTCTGAACGTGGTCACAGTGACAGCGAGATCCGAAATGCGGTTTTTATGTCATTTGTGGTCGTTTGGGAAGGAAGGGATCATTTAATTCCCGGGGCCTTTATATTCTATAGCTAGCAACTCAATTATGTCAATAAATGTCTGGATCTCATTTTGGCTGGGCGCTTACGTAATAACCTCACGGAAGTGCTGTTAGCAGGCGAGGAAGCCAGGCGCTCTCAACGTGCTTGTTTGTTTGTCAGTCTTGGACAGATCACTATTTGCAGTGGAACACGTCGGAATACCCGGGCGTCAAGACCGTGCGCTTCCCAGACGGCCAGATTTGGAAGCCAGACATCCTCCTGTATAACAGGTAAGCACGCGGGACCAAAGAAGACGTGCTTTTACCCTTGCCTACGTTTCACGATCAAGCGCGATCTGAGTGCTTTGTAGATACGCCGATACATGGTCTATCCTTTGGGGCCATGGCTGCCCCGAACCGCCAGGCTCTGGAAGCGGCCTTTGAGAAGCAGCTCCGCCCCCTCCCCAGGGTCGTCTACCTGTGCATACAGGCTCACGCCCCGCAGCGCGCCGCCTCCCGCGGCCACGTCCCTGGGGCTGTGCGTCACGGATGCGCAGAGGTTTTTGTGCGTAGGGATGCTGAGGCATTTTCCCGTGGGGTGTTACTTTGCCCCTGGATGTCACTCACGGTCACAGCAGGACTGGTGCGTGGGAGGGGGCAGGACCGGAGGCTGCTGTCTGGACCCCGTGTCAGGGCACTTTGGGAGAGCCCCGAGCAAAGGGCGTGACCGTGACACCTCTGGCCGCCCTCGGACGCTCGTCCCTCGGCTGACAGAGAAAGGCAGAGCGTGGCTGTGTTTGACAGTCCTCCTGAGGTCAAGAAATGTGAGACTCGCCCGTCTCCCGGGGCGTCTGATTCGTGGGCCAGACGCTGCACAGGCAGGTACCCAGGTGGGGTAGAGTTTCCAGAAGCGTTAAAATCCTTTGCTGTGTCGCAGAGGGAATTCAGAGCGTCTCATCGCAGGAAGGTCTGTAATGGATAAACGGCGAAGTATTTTTAAAAAGAGAGAGCGAGTTCCTAACAATGACTGAGGCCTCTGGTCCTGCCTGGAAGGGAGGGAAACACTGTTCCTCTGTGACCGCCGGCCACTGCCCTCCGTGGTGGCAACGGCGATCCCCCGGGCCCTGGGACACACTCGTCCCACACGGACTGCTTCCAGGAGGCTGGCGGGTTCCCTTTCTGGTGCCGACTTCCGCTCTTCCTGTCCTTCCCTGCTGGCCATCGCGTTCCTCGTGAATCGGTGGGCCTGCCCCTGGAAGGCTGTTCCCCTCCGACTTGCTGTTACTCTCCCGCTTCTTAAATTAGTTCAGCTGCGTCTCAGGCAGAGGCCCCTAGGGACCGGGCGAGGTGCGTGACCCCCTGTGACCACAGCCTGGGTGACTTAAACAACAACAATATATTTTCTCACAGAAATTCATTTTCTCGTGGAGGCTGAAAGTCCAAGGTCAAGGTGTCGGCAGGGGTGGCTTCTCCTGAGTCTGCCTGAGCCTCTTCCACGTGGAGCGTGCGTCTCCCAGCGTGGTGGCTGGTGCACCCCGAGGAGACACGGGGGCTGCCGGGCCCCTTAGAGACTCAGCTGAGGAACTCTCACTGTGTGCAGCACGTGCTGGTCTCCAGCTCCGCCTGGATCAAGGGAGAAAGTGACCCCCAATTCCCCGGGGTGCTCAGGGAGGGGGGTATATGAACGCATGTTCTGTAGGAGACCAGCCACCCCCTGCTAAGCAAAGGAAAATAGCAGAACAGGGAAGCAGGTGAAAGATTTTCAGGGAGGGGTGGGGAGTAAGGTCCAAAACAGGCATTGACCGCAGGTTCTCGAATGACAGCGTGCTTTCCATTCAGCACAGTGCCGTCACAGCACTGACGGAATGCTCTGGGATCTCAACTCTTGTGTGTATCGATCAGCCTGTGGCAAAATGGGTTTCATTATTCGGTCCCCTTCCGGTTGCAGAACCTATGGAGGGCGTTAAGTGAGGACTTACTGAGCAGCATAACGAAGGGAGTGGCTGAAAGGTGCAGTCAGCTAAATGCATCGGATGAAGCCTGTAGGAGGGCCCTGGCTGGGTGGCTCTGTTGGTTGGAGCACCGTCCCATACACCAAAAGGTTGCAGGTTTGCAGGTTCTTGGGTTCAATCCCTGGTCAGGGCACATACCTAAGGTTGCAGGTTCCATCCCCGGGTCGAGGTGCGGATGGGAGGCAACGGCTGGATGTTTGCCTGTCACATTGATGTCTCTCTCTCTCAAACTCTCCACACTGATGTCTCTCTCTCTCTCTCTCTCTCAAACTCTTTCTCAAACCAATTAAAAAGGTGAAGACTAAAAAAAATAAAGCCATAGGAAGTCAAATACAGTCATCTGCTGACCCCCTGACCCCCTGTCAGCCATCCACCAGCCAGATGCTTGGTGCCTGACCCCTGCACCACACCCCTCCCCACCACACACTCACATGCCACACACCCACACATCTGTCTGGTCTCCCCTCCTGTTGCCTGGTCTCCCCTTCTGCCGCGCCCATGTCACACGCCTCCAGCTCAACACCCCCCCAATCCGACACCCCCCGTCCCACCCAGCGCCCCAGGCGTGTCTCTCTGTCACACACTGTCATAGGAAAACCTGTCTCCCCACAGCACGTCAGGTCTGTCACCTCTCCTGGACACTGAAAGCATGCTCAATAAATATTTGTGTGCAGATGAGATGGCAGGGGCTAGGTCCCTGTGACAACGGCAGAGCTAGAGGAAGAGAAAGACAGAATCAGAAACTGGGACTGACTCCAAAGATGGGCACAGGAAGGACCCAAACCAGCTTGGATTTAATGAGGCCCTGACCTTCCGATGCTCTGTTGTTGGGGACTTGGAGAAATGAGCTTAATCCTTTTCGCCAGGTGCCAGGCACTCGCTGATACACACCCCCCGCCGCAACCCCCCCCAACTGCAGCCTCGCCTCACGTGATGTCTGGTTAATGTGTGTGCGTTGGGGGGGGGGCTTCCCCTGAGGAGGGGCCGTGCCATCGCTTGGGGTCGCCGTGGCTGTGAAAGGAGCCCTGGGTCGGTGCAGGCGAAGCGTCGCTGCACGCCCATCACTTGGCTCGCTCTGCTCCAGTTGGATGCAGGAGTCCCAGCCTGAGCCGCTAAATGGCTGGTGAGGTGTATCAATAATACATTTTCCCTGCTCGGAGCAGGCTGGGTGTCTGCAAACCAGCCGCGTCTGCGTCAGCCCTGGGACGGGCTGCTTTATCTCCCTGATGGGTGGGGAGCAGGGCTCGGCGTCGCCAGCCAGCCAGCAGGCCGGGGCAGGGCACTCGACGAGAAGATGAGCACGGAGAAAGACCGGCCTGCCGGGCACTGACCCCGCTGACCTCGGGAGCGTCTTGCTTGCTTCATTCACTTTACTTTAAGCCTGAGCTTTGGGGATTTTTCTGAACACCATCAGGCCCCAAATGAGGGGCAATTCTGGATGGCTTGTCACTCACGGCTTTCCCCTTTGGGCAGAATGAAGGCCTCGCTGGCATCGGTAGTCAGACAGCCTGAAGCAGGCCATCTCGGCTGCCCCTGTGCTGTGCAGCCTCGGGCAGCTGCCCCTGCCTCTCTGGGCTTCTCTGTTCTTGAGCCACTCAGGCAGAAAATCCCATAATCAAACAACAGTGTTGGTTGATCTTTGTTGGTGAATGTATTGAAGATGCTTTTGTTGCCTCTGCATTTTAGGACACTGTGGGGTGTAAACCATTCTTTTCTTTCTTTCTCTTTTCAATCCTCACCCAAAGATACATTTATTGATAAGAGATGAGAGAGAGAGACAGAGAAACATTGACATGAGAGAGAAACATTGATCAGTTGCTTCTTATTTGTGCCCTGACCAGGAATTGAACCTGCAACCTTTTGGTGTATGGGACAGTGCTATAACCAACCGAGCCACCCGGCCAGGGCTCCACCATCCCCTTCTTACAGCCTGTACAAAGCTACATTTGCACGTCTGCAAGCTTGCGTCTGGCTCTGAGAGTGCTGTCCTCTGGCCACACACAGCCCTCTCTCTCTCACACGTTCCCATGACCCTGTGGCTGACAGCAGAGTCTGGGGCGGGGACAAGGTATATAGGACAAACCCAGGTGTGGTGTGATCCAGCCTGTGAGGGCTCATGCTGTGCTAATCAATGAGTCACTGATGAAATAGAATTAATTTTCTTACCAAGTGTCTCAGGTTCCCCCAGAAGTCCGCCTAAGACAAGGGCTTCCATGCACGTAGTTCACTTGGGAGAGGAAGCGAGGTGGGAGGGAGGGAGGGAGGGAGGGAGGGAGGGAGGGCAACACAGAATGCATTCAAAAGCAAGCCACTTCTGTGGGCAACGTGGCCCGTTCCCGAGGGGGAGCTCAGGGTGACTGCCACCGCCTCTGACAGGGGTTGACGGCTGCTTCCAGGGGTCAGCTCCACTCACCTGCCCCACACGTGGACTGAGGGGGCTTGGTGGCCAGGGCCCCCCAGCCTCAAGCAGGGAAGCAGGCGCTCACAGTCAGCAGCTGTCAGGGCCCTGGGCGTGGAAGGCACAGCTGTCCACGCAGCCGGCCACCGCACACCAGAGTCACACACTCAAGGTCCACGTCTTCCCCCCAGGGCGGGTGGGAGATTCGAGCCCAGCTCTGGGTGGGGAGCACAGCCGTGACCGGAGAGGCAGGGACAGCATCCCAGGACTCAAGGGGCTTCCCAGCCCGAAGCAGGGCAGGCAGGGGACAGAGGTCACGGAGAAGAGCTGGGATTGCGCCCTTGTGAGTGGCAGCAGCCTCCCTGAGAGCTGTGAGTGGTCCAACAGTGTGGGCTGCCAGCAGGGGGCCTTAGCCGCTCTGCCTGGTCCCCCCTCTCTACAAAGCGCCCCAAAGTCGGCATGAGCACCCATCTTTACCAGGGCGGGGAGCTGGTTCGGGGAGCTGGTGCTCAGAGCCGAGCAGCCACCTGCCCCAGGTCAGCCGGCAGAGTGGGCCTGGCTCCAGAGTGTCATGGGCCTCGGGCCGGGCCGCCTCTGGTGTTGCTTCTACACATCGCAAGTGGGACTGTTCTGCAAGTTACACAAAGCGAAACGATTCCTCTGTGCAGGTCCCTGCATCGGCTGGGCTCTCAGACCTCCTCTGAGAGCAGCTTCTGAGCTGCAGCCTTTCCTCTTCCATCCTGGAACGGGTGATCCTGTCCCTCCCCGATTTCCATCCTGTGGCTTCTCAATGATCCTTCCATGGCCTCTGACCTTCACCTTGTCTGGCACTGAACCCCTTGTCAGCTAGCTTGGAGAGGCGACGGGCAAGCCGCTGTGCA